ACTTCCTTTAACCTCAGCAACTTGCGAGACAAAGCAGGAGGCTCTCTGCAGATGTTCTATACAGAGAATTTCAGGCTAACCAGGCTACACAGTGTGACCCTGTCCATCTGTCTCACACACCTGCACACACACATATGCACACATGCACATATTTGCACGCGAGCGCGCGCGCGCACACACACACACACACACAGTAATGCTAAGAAAGAAACAAACAGATGAGCGGCACAAGACAACTTCTCATTCCATTAACTGAACCAGCTCTTTCTTGTGGTGCTGGGACTGAAGCCAGGCCCTAGTGCTAACTACCCTCTACCACTGAGCCAAACTCCAGGGCTAAGGAACCATAAATCCTCAATATTGACTTAAAACCCATGCAGAAAAATAAAATTATAAAATACGTATCGCATGAAACAAGGAGACATGGTGTAGCCCAATAAGCAGTGAGGAAGGGAGTCAGGGGCAGGAGGCACTAACCGGCCGTGATCTCTGGAACTGGGCTTCCTCACGGTCTCTGTGTGGTCCAGGAGCACTGCTTCTCTCCCTGACACTCCTGAACCCAGGACTCGGGATGATGTACTCCTTTCCCATGTCAATGTCCTTCATCTTCACCAAGTGGGGACCAGAGCTCAGACTCTTCTTTCACTTCACAGTTTCTGAAATTAAAAGCAGACACGTCCCAACAATGCTGAGGCATATGCCAAGGTGCGTCACCACAGGAAGAAGGGGCAAAAGCATTGGCACTTTCTTACCACTATACCCATACAAATATTTCAAATAATACCTTGCTTTTTAAAGGGAAAGGGTTAGTACTCTAGTGTCAAGAAAAATTACCTAGCCAAGCATAGTAGTGCACACCTTTAGGCACTCAGGAGGAAAAGGTAAGAGGATCTCTGTGAATTCAAGGCCAGCCAGGACTACAGAGAGTTCCAGGACAGCCAGGGCAACACAGAGAAACCCTGTCTTAAAACAACAAAAAAAAAAAAAAGGAGAAAAATAATAAGGTGAAAATATACCTTCTCCCAACTCCTAGGAAAAAAAATAAACTAAAAAAACACCAAGCCTACCAGTAAATGAGAATCTGAGAAATGGGGCATTGAGATGACATGGAAAGTGTTTTGAAAGCCTTCAGACTTCCTGCATGCATTATAAACTCCAGGACCTCTCTCCTACCAAATGTGACTAGATGCAATTTACAAACCTTACCCTACCAATGGTAAATCCCATTTCTGCATTTTTATATTTACCTAATCGATTGACAGATGTTATTTTAAAGCTCCAAGAAGTTACACAGCTAAAATAAAACAACACAATAACAACTTTAAACACAAATTCCCAGGTCTCTGGGAGTTTGAGGTCAGCCTGGCACAGAGTGAGTTCTAGGACAGCTAGGCTACACAGAGCTCCTGACTCGAAAAACCAAACTGTAACCAATAAAAAACAATAACAATAAATTAAATTTAAATGTGCATGGTGGTGCACACTTTGAATCCCAGCATTCAGGAAACAGAGGCAGGTAGATCTCTGAGTTCCAGGATAGCCTGGTCTGCAAAGTAAATTCCAGGATAGCTGGGACTACATGGTAAAATCCTGTCTCCAAAAACAAAATACATATATATACATATACACTTGCAAACATACATACACACACACACACACACACACACACGATTTAACTTTTTTTTCTTTTTGTTTTCGTTTTGGTTTTTCAAGACAGGGTTTCTCTTTTTGAGACAGGTCAGCTTAGGCTATCCTGGAACTTGCTTTGTAGACCAGGCTGGCCTCAAACTCACAGCGATCTGTCTGCCTCCTCTGCCTCTGCCTCTGCCTCCCTGAGTGCTGGGATTAAAGGTGTACACCACCACCACTACCACTACCACCACCACCACCACTACCACCACCACCACCACTACCCGGTTTACATTTTACCTTTTCTCTTCCTAAAACCCAGCTCTACAGCTCTATAGCACTGCCTGCCTGGCTAACTCTAGTCAACACTCTGTATCAACTCCGGTCACTTAAGAAAAGAGTTTGAATTTATTTTATTTACTATGTGTATGTGTGGGAGAGGGAGAACCTGGCCACTTTTTAAAAACTAAACACAGACATGTCCCTCTAAAAGGGTCCTGTGTCGTCGTTCTCAGAAGGTCACAGATTCCTGGACACAAGATATGAAAACACCACAGATAACTGAAGTATGACTGTGCTACACTGCAGTCCATAAACCAACTATGATGGTCACTAAGGCCTGTGTTCTTTGCAGCACAAAACTTTGACAACTGTAATTCATTTGTTTTTGACACAGGGCCTCAAGTAGCCCAGGCTGGCCTCAAACTCTGTTTTTGAAGGATGACCTTGTACGTCTGGTCTTCCTGCCTCTACATCCTGAGGGCTGGGATTATAAAATTGTACTCCTGTGCCAGGCTTTATGATGCTGGGACCACACACAGACCCTGCACTCTGCCTGCAAAGCTACATCCCAAGCCCCTGTTACTCGTTTTTAAATCATCAGAAGAAAAATATTTATTAATTCTTGAAATAGCAAAATTAAAACCCCTTAAATCTCCAGAGAGGGCTGGACTTTTTGCTTTAGAATTCTGGTTCAAGTGCCCCAAATTGATACAGAAAAGGTGTTTATTTAAAAATAGCATCTATAACGAGCAGTGGTGATTCACACCTTTAATTCTAGCACTTGGGAGGCAGAGGCAGGCAGATCTCTGTGAGTTCAAGGCCAGCCTGGTCTACAGACTGAGTTCAGAACAGTCAGGGCTACACAGAGAAACCCTGTCTTGGAGTAGAGGGGGACAGCACCTAGTCAAATGATTACATACACTATAAACAAAACCAGCTTACTAAGCAAAAACAGTGCCTGTGTCACAGAGGCCTCAGCAAGGCTAAACTAAAAACAGACCTGGCATCTGCCACTGGCCCCACTGTCATCTGGAAGAGGAAGATTAGTGACACTTTAAAAACAGGTAAGAGGTTAGGGGAGCTTGAGGAGGAGCCCAAGGGATCACAATACCAAACACACCAAGAACAGGAAAGGTGTCTCCGGTATGTAAAACCTACAGGAGGCAGATTTTTTTCAATCATGGATTATGAAGCAGAACCTGTAGAATGTACACAAAGACTGTGGTAGCAATGACCCTGTTATGCCAGAGACAACTGCTTTCTGAGTGGTTGGTGAGATGAGATAGAGGCGGTGGTGACCTATCCTGACTCCCTATCCTTCCGGATAAAGCTAGTTTCTATAATGAAGGATATGGGGGAACAGTACCCCACTACCTTGAACACTCCCATTGTTTTACTTTAAACAAAACAAACAAGCAAACAAAAAAGCAATGCTCTGAGCATATGCAAACACCTGAGTAGCCATAAAGTTGGTTTCCTCACAGTGAACATACAGAACCATAGTCTGTGTGTCTGACAAGCACCAGGCAGGTGGAGGGGGGGGCTGGTGGAAGGTGATTGGTAGGTTTGGAAAAGAAACAAGGCCTGGATAGGGAGCAAGCAAATACGGACGGATTACTACACTAGATGGGTCTCTCCTGACCAACACACTTTCACTTCCTTATTTTCTGAACTTTTCCCTTGCAGTTGACCGGAAGTCTTTAAAAAAAGTAATGCTAACTTGGGCTCAGTGATAAAAGGAATGTACGCCGGAGGTTCTATTCAGTCTCCAGCAATGCCAAAAGCAAAACCACGTATCAGAGGACTAGGAAAACCGGTATGTTTAGGTCTAAGCCAGCAAAGGGATAAAAGAGAATACAGGAAGTAAGGACTCAGTGCCCACCCCACCCCGACTCAAAACTGACAGGGACGGGGGCCACCTGATCAGCCTTTGCTTAAAAACTCTTTCCAGGGATAAAGGGGTAGCCATTGGCCCTGCGTAAGGATGCGACGATGCTGCAGGGGGGGAGGGGCGTTGCGTAGGACTAGAGAACTGGAACTAGCCAGGCTGGTGTTTCCAAGTGGTGTTATCACAACATCGGTCAGTAGGTTTCCAGTAGCTGCAGAAGCAGGGAAGCTGAAGGGGGCCCACTTACCACGCCCCCCTGAACCCACCTGTGCCTCCAAGCTCCCTCACCTTTCACTTACTCCGAAGACCCCAGAAAAACCTATCCATTTCTCCCTTCAGAACTCAAACTTCCCCAATCATCCCTGGCCCATCTGCATCGAGACTTCCACATCTGTGCGAAAACACATGACCCAGGTGTGATAAACACAGACGCACTGGCAGCTCTGCGTGCCAGCAGCCAAAAGGGCACCGATGACAGGGAACCTGGGCTCCCATCCCGGCTCTGCCGCGGATTCGCTGTGCGTGCTGATGTCACGTACATCCATACACCAGTTCGGGAGGGGGAAAAAAAGCGAAGATAATGACTTACGTAGTAGGTTCTTGCCGTCGGGCCTCCAGTCCCGGGGATGTTGGGGCTTCTCTCGGGCAGCCCCGCCACCCCGGCCCTAGGGCGTTCCCACCCCAGCCCGGGCCCAGTGAGCACACGACCCACCCAGAGCGGGCGCAGCTCCCCCTGGTGGCCGTGCTGAGAGTAGAGCCGACCGCGACCGCTCATCAAACCTCCCCTCCTGCCTTCTAACTCCGGGGTCCCGGCACAGACCGCGAGGACACCACCCAAGCCGGGGACCACAAGATACCAGCGCTACACTGGCCCCGCTTCTCCCGCTCAAGGCTTCCCACCGCCCACCACGCTCCGCGCGGGAAGCCCACGGGAGTGAGCCCGTGACAGCCGAGGTCACTGCGTAGGAAAGGCAAGAGGCATCACCTACCTGCATCCCAGCCTCCCCCAAGGCAGAGCGGACTGCACGGGTTTGCTCGCGAACATCGGACCCGGAGCCAAACAAGCCTTTAAAGCAACATCGTCCCCCCGGCACACACACACAGACACCGCGCAAGCGCGCTGCACAAAGCTTGCGCAAAACAGAAGGGAATCGTAGTCCCTCCTTCGGCAGCCCAGGGCGCAGCACACCGCAAAGGACTACGTTTCCCAGAAGTAACACCGGTGCCCGGGATGGGGTGCAGGCTGTTCACCGTCCCCGCGCGCATCCCGTGCTGCCCTCATCCCTCCCCAGCCTCTGAAACCCGGTCTGGAATCTTCTCTGAAGTCTTGAGTACCGGGGGGTGCTGGGCAGGCAGGTCGAGATGGCTGGGGGCATTGTATCCCTGGGCAGCCCGAGATTCAAAAATGCAGCCAAATAGAGGCGGTCGTTCCACGTGCCGGAAAACATCGTGAAGGTCATTGTAGCCCCAACTATTAGTCGTGGTGTCACTCATCATTTCACATTTGCTGGTGCGTGAGTCCACTACATTCTGCATGGATAGTATCTTTCGATCTTTTCTCTTACCGTTCCATCACAGCTGCCTGGCTTCTAAGTAATAAAATACCAGGATCACAATTTCCAAAGTGACAAGGGATATGCTAACTAATCGATTTGTTTTATACATGAAACTGAGGCCCCGGACGCATTCGTCATTTTATTTTTCTTTTTTGTCTATTTCAGTGTCGTATCTAAGGATTACTGTGTTGAGTGCTTCCCTACCATTAAAGTACCTGCGACTTGTTTATGGTTATCTATTTAAGAGACTCCAAAAGTCCGGGAGGTGATGGCTCATGCCTTTAATCCCAGCACTCGGGAGGCAGAGGTAGGTGGATCTCTGTGAGTTCAAGGCTAGCCTGGTCTACAAGAGTGAGTTACAGGACAGCCAAGGCTACACAAAGAAACCTATTCTTGAAAAACCAAAAATAGGCTAATGAGATTGTCCATCTTCACACAACTCCCTACTTAACTTGTGTGAACACTAACATCATAAAGCTGGAGTAATTGACAGAGTGTATACATGGCACACAGAATTACTAGCCCAGAAGCTGGGGAGATGGCTCCGTGGTAAGAGTATTTGCAGGTGAAGCCTGTGGATGTCAGTTCAAATCCTCCGTACCTATGGAAAAAGCCGCATGTGGCTGAGCATTCACTAAAACGCCGGGACTATGTGGAGCAGAGACAAGATGGCTTGGACTTGCTGGCTGCAGGCCAGCTACACACTCAGTGAGAGAGCCTGGTTTAAGAGAACAAGACAGAGTACCCAAGCTGCCCTCCAATTTCCAGGTGTGGATGGGTGCTCACATTTGCACATACACACCACCACTCAAATATACACAAATAGAATTATAGCCCAGAAAGGACAGGATATAGTGGCGAAGTCTGTCATTCTACCACTAAGGGGGTGAAGGCAAGAGAACTGTGATTTTGAACCAACCTGGACCACACAAAAGTAAAAAGGCAGGAGGGGCATTGTAGGGCAGGCCTTTAATCCCAGCACTGAGACGGCAGAGGCAAGTGGATCTCTGTGAATCTCGGGGTTGCCAGAATTATATGATGAGACACAGGAAAAGAAGGGGGTGGGACCTCTAGGTAATAGACTTCTACTTAAATACAAATTTGATGTGTGATAAAATTCAATAAGTTAGCAAGGAAATGAAACAGGTAAATAATACTGGGGCAATTGATTATTCATTTTTAAAGAAAACTAAGCAATGCCAGGTTTCAGACAGATCAAATATCTAAATGTGAAGACAACTTTAAATTAGTTGTAAATTTTAAAACTTTTTGGAGAAAACATGAAATGCCTTATGAACTTGAGAATAGGGGAGAACCTCTTAAACAAAGGGGGAGATAGAGATGGGCATTGCATGTGGATACTAAGTATCCCCTAAGGCTGGTGATGCTAGACAGTGTTCAAAGATCATGACTCCATGACTCACCAATGGTTTAATATCAAGTGTACCATTATAACTCATTTTACACAGTGCTGAGGCCTGAACCTAGATCCAGTACCTTCACAGAAAATGCAAAGCTCCTAAAATGTCCCTGAACTACTTCAAATATACTAGTTATCCTTACTCTTAAAAACCATGGATGAAGAAGCAGGCATGGTGATGAACACCTTTAATCTGAGCACATGGGAGGCAGAGGTAGGTGAATCTCTATGAATTCAAGTTCAGCGTCATCTACATAGTGAGTAGCAAGTTCCAGGCCATCCAGGGTTACCTACTGAAAATAAAATGAAATAAAAACTTAAAAAAACATGGGGACTATGGAGATTGTCCAGTCCATAAAACACTTGAGAACCTGAGTTCAGATCCCCAGTACTATCAAAATCTGGGCCTGTTTGAGCTGGAGAGACGGCTCAGCTGTTAGAGCACTGGCTGCTCTTCCAGAGGAAAAGGCACCCACATGGCAGCTCCGTTTTCCAGGGATCTGATGCTTCTGACATTCGCGATCACTGCCTTCATGTGTGGTGCACAGACATGCACACAGGCAAAACATCCAAACACATCACATAAAAATAAATAACTTCAAAAAAGAAAGACAGTATCTGCTCCCTCCAAGACAGAGTGAGAACTAGCCAAGCAGGACTTGGAAGACAGGCAGATGAGGAGAAATCACAAAGCCTAATTGATGTATTAAACCACTCTACAACTCTGCGGTGAACAAAAGACGACCATTGAAAAGGTGGCCCCAGGGGCAGGCAAGATGGCTCAGGGGGTAAGGCACCTGCCAAATAAGCGGAGGATCTGAATTAACTATCTCTGCTCTATGTACAAGTGAGAGCCAACTCCATAAAGCTGACTTCCACTGGCCTGGTATGCACACCCATACACACGTAGACATAAAGTGATAATGAAGTATGGTCTGGGGAGATGCTCTGCCTTCTCTTCCAAAGGAACTAAGTTCGATTCCCAGAACCAACAGGGCCCCTCAGAGTTGTCTTTAACTGCAGTCCTGGGGGTCTGGCAGCCTCTTCCGGCCAGTGTAGTATTGAGTCTTTCTCAGGGTGAGCCTTTAAACATAGAAACCATGTTTGACATATTTCAGGTGACAAAAACAGTTAGTCAGAAGCAGAACCAACAGGGTTAAAAAGCAAGGTTAACACATTTGAATACTTGCCCAGGACTATAGACATTGATGGATTAGGTCTTGGTTTTAAAGTTACCTATGTAGCCTTCTGATTACTAACCCTGTATTGAAGTTTTGAGTTAACCTTTTTGTTGCAAATATTACAGATTTTTTAACCATGTCTAATAAATTTACAAACCAATAATTTTTTTGGTTGCTCTGCTCTGACCCCAGACATAGAGACTTTAGAAGTAAGTTTGGGTCTGGAAAATTGTGGATCATAACTCAGTTTCAGAGCCAGTTTTTTAATAAAACAGAACAGTACAAAACAATATTATCCATGCTTTCCAGATTGATCTGGCTGTTAGTTTTGGAGGTGCCATTGCCACCCAGTAAGATCAGAGTGCAAGTCAATACACTGGGACCATCTCCAGCTGCCAAGCATGCTTGTCAGGAAGTTAGCTATTGCCACATGTCACTGGTATTCCTCAAAACTAGGGCTCAGGGTGTTGCTTGCTGCTCAAGGTTAATGTGTGAGTTAGTTCTGTCAGCTTGGCACAATTTAGAGTCCCCTGGGAAGGAAGTGCCACTTGAGGAACAGTCCTTTAGAAAGGACTGTGTTGGCCTGAGGGCAGGCCTGTGGAGGATCATCTTCATTGCTGATTAATACAGAAAGACACACCGTGAACGTGGACAGAACCAAACCAGAGGCTGGGCCCTGAGCTGAATACAGGTAAAGAAAGCTAGTTGAGAAGGCAGGCAGCGACTGATACTTTAGGTTTCCGCGCCCTGCCTCAACTTGCCAGAAATAGTGGACTGTGCCCTGGAACTGTGAGCCACTTAAGCCCTTTTGTTTCCTAAGTTGCTTCCAGGAAGGGTGTTTTATCACAGCAACAAAAATGAAAGTGTACTGGCGTCCTCAAGAGTCCCCAGAGGAGGAGCGCTAAAGGGAGGAAGTGGAAAGAGGCTGATTCCACGGAGGCTGCTCCTCTACGTAACCTGCACCCGCTGCTTCAAGGTGGGGACCCTCTTCCTAGGACCCCAACATTACTGAGGGCTTCTTTTAGCAACGTCTCCAATCCCCGTGACTCTGACTTCCTCTCCTTCCCCACGCTCTTTCCTTTGCAGATTATAATCCACCCTGAGCATAAACTAGTGTTAAGGAAAAGGAAATTCTTCATCATGTGCTCTCAGGACGCATTGAGAGTTCAGACGCCAGCAGGCAAGACTAACGCCATTTTAGACGGGACACCATCTTGAGAAGCTGCTGACTGGACCCTGAACCCAGTTCCCGGGGACAAAAAAAAAAAAAAAACAGCTCAAGGTCGCTCCAGGACCCCCACATCCTGCTGAATCAGCCTGACACTGAGGAAACAGACATCTTATCATGGTCATCAGATATCCCAATAGATTACCAGACGCTCTAACAGAAATTACTTAACCCCAGGGCTAATCGACCCAGGAAGCATCCCTACCCTGAATGCCAAGGCTTGCAGTTTTCCCTTTATAAGCTCACTCCCCTGAAGGCTACTCGCACCTGCTGAGCATTGGAGTGCTGCTGGGCACCCAAACTCAAGTTCATTTTTAAAAATAAACTCCTGTGTGTTTGCATCGGTACTCAGCTCTGTGGTGGTCATGTTCCGGGGTCCCCCATCCTAGGCATCAGTGCTCCCCAAGATGCTAAGGTAGAAGAGCCGGGGTGGGGGTAGGGTTCCTGCCACAGAAGATGGAACCTTCCCAGATAGTCCAGAGTATTTTTCTCTTACATCATAGAAAAGGCAACAAAGGATACTACAAGACACATAAAAGTAGACTCTGCCAGGACAAGTGCCTGTGTGTGAGCACCAGGTGTGCATATACCAAATATGCCCTAAATTTGAAAAATTGAGTTGCTCCCCTAAGGTCCCGTATATCCCTACCCAGTTACTTCCCTTCTCAGTAATTCATTACTACCTGTATCTTATTAATACTCTAAAGAGAAGAAACATGGTTTGGTTGCAAAAGTTGTCACTGACATCACCAAGACAGTTCAGGGACATTCTGTGCAGCTGGAGAGGACCTTCCAGCACCCACTTGAAAGCTCACAATCATCTATATATCCAGTCTCAGGGGGGTCAGACATCCTCTTTTAACTGTTGTGCCCAAATTCTGAACCCCAAAATCACCCAGAGGCCAGATCCGATGCAAAAGCAGAGTCCTTTATTAACGAGTTAACTGTATTAACTCAAGTCCTCTATCCATTCAACTCAGCAGGTGGAACCAGGAGGACCACGGGGCAGGGAATTTATTGGGGTAGAGCAAGGGGACTGTCTAGGGTCCACAACAGTCTCAGGACTGGTGCATTTCCAGGCTTGGGAGATGTGTCCTGTGTTGATTGGTCAACTGGTTGCTATGTCCTATAGGCCCTTCCTGGGCCTTTGCTGTGCTTTGTAAGCCACATCCAGAGCTCGCCAGCTAACTTCTGATTGGTTCCTTGCCACATGGAGGGTATCTGGCTTCCTGGTGACTGGGGCAAGGTCTGGAAAGGTTGGTGTTCAGCACATGTTGCTGAGTCAGAGGCCTACATCTTGCTGGGTCTTTTCTGTAGCCTGACATGACTGCCAAAGCAGGGGGCTGGGGAGGGCCTGGTCCCTTCACTAACTTCCGGGACACTGCATACATGTTGAAAGGTTTAGGCATTACACGGGCCTGCCCTGTTACCTGGCAGAATGCACTCTGGCCGGCCCACAGTTCCCTGAGAACCAGTCTGCACGTTTATGTTTTTTATTCTTTTATTTTTTTGGTTTTTTCGAGACAGGGTTTTTCTGTATTGTTACGGAGCCTGTCCTGGAACTCCGGTAGACCAGGCTTGGTCTTGAACTCACAGAGATCCCTGCCTCTGCCTCCCGAGTGCTGGAATTAAAGGCGTGCGCCACCAACACCCGGCATTGCACGTGTATTTTTGCCTCTCCTGTTCATTCAACTTGGAATGGCAAGTTCCTCTTTTCTATCCAGCTATGTTTCTTCTCCGTGCGGCTGCCAGCAGCTCCCAATGGCCTGGCGTGGGTTCCCGTCTGCTAGGGAGGCAGCTTCTACCTCTCTGTTGCTCTTCTACCGTATTTCTTCTCCACACAGATGCCAGCAGCTCACAATGGTCCGGCCTAGGTTAGCAGCTCGAAATGGCCTGGTCTGGTTCAGTGTCTGCTCAGGACACACTAAAATTTTTTTCATTTTTTTCCCCACAAGTGAGGTTCAAGTTTTTCAGGTTTTGTACTGACTGGTGATTTTCAGACCCCTGAGGGGTCTCTCAGGTTTTCGTTTTTCAGACCTATGGTGGTCACACATCTTTCTGCCTCACTTGTGGAGAAAAATGGTTACTTCTGCTGGCAGACAAAAATACGCTTATGAAAATGCGCTTATGAAGGCTGCCATCTTGACTGTCTCAGTCATGTGGCCTAACCTGGTGGCCGCCATGTTTACCGTGTGACCTAGCTATAGGCATGCTCATTCAGTCTAGCCAGCATTTGCCGACAAAGCCTGCTAACAGATACAATTCATTTGTGCTTTTATGTTTGCCTCTAATTTCTTCCTTCACTAGCCCTGTCGCGCATGGCTCGTTTATGGAATACTGCACCTTTCCAGGGTCCCCGTTCTATCTACAGCGTATACGCCTTCTTGTCACTGACTCTGTCTCTTTAAATATGTATGTGTATATGTAGCCACTGCTTAAGAAATATAAGGTAACTTTATATAAAATTTAAATTCAACTATACTAAATATCAAATGTTTCTAAATTGTTATAGCTTTAAGTGATGGTAAACATTTAAAGTTATAAGGTTCTATTTCAAATTAACAAAATATTTATAGCACCCAGTGCTTTCTGTAAGCTGTTTACAAAGGTAAAGCTTCCATTACAAAAGGGGATTTTTCTCTAGTCACCTATGTGCTTAAGGCAAGTCACTAAAGATAAATTTTGTCTACTAAGATATACTAAACAGACAAACAGCCCTCAAATGCTCAGAGATTGAGAGAACATGGCATTTAAATGTTTTATTAAAAAGCTTTTTATAACAGAAAGACAGGCCAGCTGCTGGCACCACCCCATTTCCTCCAAGAGAACTGTTGGGCACTGAAGAAACTCCACCCACAAAAGTGACAATGCTGGCCACTGAGCAACCCTGCCCTTCACCTCACCTGCTGCAAAGCACTCTTCAGTGGACATGAGGACTGTGGAATCTACTTTTCTCAATGTTTCTCTGGTCAATGGTAGGAAAATCTTCCTAAAAAGTCCCCAACCCACGGGTCCCATGCTATCAGCAAAAGGCAGGTGTCCTTGTAGCCCTTCTGACTTCAACAACTGTGGGGGAGCTTGGGGGTGGCTGTCCATGCAGTCAGCTAGTAAGTCTCTCATTCTCAAATCTCAGGTAAAATTTTATCCTTCTCAAGAACTCTGATGCTTTTGACAACTGATAGCTTTGCCAGCTTAAAGTAACAGACAAGGCAAAGCTCTAACTCACAAAACAGGTTTCAGGAACAGGTATCCTAAGGTTTAGCTATATAAGATGGTAATGTAATAAAATGAGTTGAGACATTAAAAAGAATAAAATATGTTCCAGATTTCTCTCTTTCATTATGCTACTGTTCATAGTCTTAATATTAATAAAGTTCTAATAAGCTACTAATCTAACTCCAACAAAGTACTAAACAACTATGCCACTATACAACCAAAACTATAAGCTCAAAATTAAGGTGCTTTTCATTGTGCTAAAAATATCTGTCACTCTTAAAAATGTTAATGCTTTAAGCCAAGTCATTTCTAACACAAATATGCTGCTATGTCTAATACTTGTGTTTTCACAAACTCAAAGGATTCTTGTAAGTTCCAGAGAGTCGAATTGGACCCATCCAAACAGGTCAGATTCACTTCAGATATTATTCAACCTCTCACTAGTCCTGGGATTCCCTTCTCTCATCTTGGGACCCCTCGGGAACCCCTCCCTCATCTTACAGTCTTCCCCTCAAAATACCAGGACCTAAGAAAGGAATTTTAAACCTAACTTTGTCCTCTACTCTGCTAACGTCTTGCCGGATCTACAGAGATGCCAGAGTTCCAGACAGCCAGGACTGCGATGGAACAGCCAACTACTCCAGATGTTCAACACCCCAGATTTCTCAGGTTCCCCCAAAGATGACCGACATCCCCCAGGTCGGCAGGAAGCAGTCTTAAGAACTCAACATTATTACTTAACCTGCCATGTCTAACACCCCCACCTCTTTTTAATAATAAATAAAGGTGGGAATGAGAGGTTCGGGCATTATGCTGGCCTTCCCTGTTACCTGGCAGAATGCACTCAGGCAGCACTCTGGCCAGCCCAGAGTTCCATGAGAACCAGTCTGCACACAGGTGTAATGGACCCCTTTAAAGGACAGACCCCTGCCCACTTACGCTCTCTCTTCTCTCTCATCTTCCTCTCTTTCTCTCTATCATGTCTGTCTCAGCCCTTTCAGTCTTCCTATAATAAACTATGATTAACATGCTCTCCATGGCTTGAGCTCCATCTATCTTGCCAGTCTTTATTCCCTTATATTAACAACACATGTGGTACACAGGCCATACCGACACACAGTCAAAATGCCCCTCCACATAAAATAAATTAATTAATAACTTAGACTGGGCATGGTAGTGCATACCTTTAATTTCAGCTCTTGGGAGGCAGTGGCAGGACAACTTCACTGAGTTTGAAGCCAGCCTAATCTACATAGCAAATACCAGGACAACAAGACTACACAGAGATCCTGTCTCAAAAAGAACATTAAAGACATAGTGAAAATTGATTTCATAGTAGAATTATTCAAAAGAGTTAAACATGGGAGCAAGTGGGCTTGGAGAGGAGGGAGGGAAAACTGGGATTGGAATGTAAAAAAAATTAGAAAAAAACAAAAAAGAAAACAAAAAAACTCTGTGTGTGTGTGTGTGTGTGTGTGTGTGTGTGTGTGTGTGTGTGTGTGTGTGTGTGTGTGTGTGTGTGTGTGTAAGCAGGACTGGAGAGATGGCTCAGTGGTTAAGAGCACTAGCTGTTCTTCCAGAGGTTCTGAGTTCAATTCCCAGCAACCACATCATGTGGTTCACAACCATCTGTAATGAGATCTGGTGCCCTCTTCTGACATTAAGGCTTACATGCAGGCAGAACATTGTATACATAATAAATAAATCTTTTTTTAAAAATGTGGAAGCAAGGCAAAATATTTCTAAGGTCCTTTCTGCTCATACAATTGTTTAGGATGAACATTTATTGTAATTTTAACCTTCACACATTAAAAATGGCTTGTGCACCAACAGAAAAAAAATAAACCTCCAATTCTAGAACAAAACATAGTACTCAGTAAATATCCATCCAATAAATCTTCTCTAAAGGAGGGGAAAAAACCTATCATTCCTCAAGTGCTACTGGGACTTTTAAACAGCAAGTCTTTTTATAAAGATGTAAAAGTTATTTTTAAAAAAAAAGCCTTAGGTACTGTGGTAGTTTGAATAGGAATGGCCCCCATAGGCTCATAGGTTTAAATGCTTGGTTTCCAGGGAGGGGAACTACTAGGAGGCGTGGCCTTGTTGAAGCAGGTGTGGACTTGTTAGAGGA